CTTTTATGAAACTATCTGCACTCAACCCCTGGAAAGCACATGGGCCAGACGGTATCCCAGCATGGTTATTAAAGGAAAACGCTGATCTCTTGGCGGGTCCAGTCTCTGCGATCTTCAACTCCTCGTTCCACGAATCCCGCCTTCCGCCTTCTTGGAAAGAGGCTGACGTTGTCCCGGTGCCAAAACAAAGGCCTATTAATGACATTAACAAGCACCCCCATCCGATTTCCCTCACGCCTATCCTGTCTAAGCTCGCTGAAGATCACATTGTTGAGAAATACGTTAAACCTGCTGTGTTACAAAGAATCGACCCTCGACAATTTGGAACTATTCTTAAATCATCTACTACACATGCCTTGGTCAATATGATGCATAATTGGCTTGTTAACACCGACGGAAATGGTGCCACAGCAAGAGTAGTCCTACTCGATTTCCGTAAGGCCTTTGACCTTATCGATCAAAGTGTTCTTGTTCAAAAACTAACAACATATGATATTCCAAGTCAAGTCAAAGGTTGGATTGTTGACTTCTTGATGGACCGGAAACAAAGGGTTAACTTGCTCAGGATTGTCACTCTGAATGGCGCTCTGTGCCACCTGGTGTCCCCCAGGGAACAAAACTGGGCCCCTGGTTATTTCTTGTCATGATTAATGACTTGGACACACCAAGACCTTTCAAGACAAGCGAGTCTCGATGGGTTCCAACTAAATGAGGCCAAGTGCAAAGAACTACGAATTGGTTTTTCCAACAGCAACCACGATTTCGAACCCCTAGTTCTAAATGGCAAACGCCTTGAATTAGTCACCAGTGCCAAATTGCTGGGCGTGACCATTAGCCATGATTTAAAGTGGAACATGCACACCTCTGAACTAATTAGAAAATGTTCCTCTCGTCTCCACTTTTTACGTCAACTCAAGAGATCTGGAGTGGCACCAAGTGAACTGGTGCAATTCTATGTGACATGTATTAGGCCCGTCCTGGAATATGCAAGTCCTGTATTCCATCATTCTCTACCAAACTACATCAGTGAAGATTTGGAACAGATCCAAAGAAGGGCATTCAGAATCATCTATCCTGACCTTTCATATAGTGTAGCACTAGAAACAGTTGGCCTACTGAAACTTCATGAGAGGAGAGAAAAGATTTCAATCAATCTGTTTGACGAGATCATCTGTAACCCCACCCACAATCTCCATAGCCTCCTCCCCTAAAGGAAGAGTTATAAATATGCACCGAGACGCAAAAGTGATTTCACTCTCCCCCTATGTAAAACCGAGCGTTTGAAGAATAGTTTTATTTTTAGCCATGTCTATAAGATGTAGAAAAATTTTTCTTATTCTCTCTTTTGTTGTCATCAGTATTTGTAAATATCACGTAATTCAGCCTATGGCTGCAATGGTGGTTAATAAAGTATCTCTTTCATCTCTCTCTTGTAATTGTTGTCGTGTTAATTATTATTTCTGTTACGTATTAGTCTTTGTTTTTGTATTAGTGACCCTTCGATATCATATGTCAGACCTCGTGCGTTGTCGTTTGCGGTAGTTTAGACAAGAGAGCTTATTGTGAGTGTTTCTGCGTTCATTGCAACTCATTCAGGCGTTACAGAGAGGACAATTGGTAAGCGACCGTATTATTGTATTGATTTCCTTGTTTTCTTTTCCTGTTACCGAATGCTGCATTGTTAGCTGTGTTTGCGCTCGTGTAATTGATATGTATTCGTGTCATAAAATAGTTATTTTAGCTTCAGTCCTTTAGTATCGCTTAGACTAGGTTTTTTAATTGTATTTTAGTTTGACGGTTTTGAACATCAAGTCACAATTAGTACGAATAAACTACGTTTGGAATTATAGTTGGTCTTTGGTGTCTCGAATCAGTATTTCGCTCGATGTCCTTACATTAAATCCTGTGTATCTTTGGGACATTCCGATGTTGTTTTGACGCCTGGAGCTATAGTCAAACGATTTCTCAAGAACAATTAAGAGCGTGTTGGAACTTCTGTGTGTCGGATCCTGCAATCATCATCAAATAGATAATAGCCAATGAACGAAACATGCGATTAAATCGAAAGGAGTAAGATCTTATGGCCAAAAGTGCTGGAGAAGGTCTAGAAAACCTCGTAGACCATGTGGAGTTTGAAGATTCAGACGATAAGCATGAAGCGCCTCGTCGAAGCGCAAGAGAAAAGCATTCAACGGAAAAGGGGTCCAAATATGTACGAAATCTTCGTCTTCAGGCCGTTATTACGGCAAAAACGTCTTGGCGAAAACAAATCAATTCCATTCACTCTGGTGACTCGAAAGGACATTGCGTTACTAACAGCAGGATGCGAAGAGCTGGAGAGGAAGATGACGCAATCGTCCCTGTCGCACGAGGCACTGGAGGCCGTGATTGAAGAAGAGGAAGAGAGAAACCGCTTGTACGAGGAATTTGAAGTTGTTTCTCGCGAAAACAACGAAGCCCTGAGAATGGTTAGCGACCGAATAAACTTCTTGCAGCAAGAACAGGATTCTAAGAGTTCAACGATTTCACGATCAACCAAGACAAGCAAAATTTCTGAAAGGTCAAGCCGTAAATCTTCTCGTTCGTCTTCTCGAAACTCATCACTATCTTTACGAGAGAAAAGAGTGCAACTTGAGGGAGACATCGCCTCTCTAAGAGCTACAATGGCGCTCGCTAAGGAGAGACAAGAGAAGGAAATAGAACACCGAGCGAAAATGGAGGAGGTGCAAAGAAGTTTTTCCCGAAGAAATCAAGGTTCTCAAATCCTTAGAAGTGCAAAACGACGATGCCAGTAGAGAATTTGCAAAGAGACGAAATTTATCCATGAAGAAGACAAGTTCGCTCTATCGACTAGATCCCTATCTAGACAAAGATGGCGTCTTACGAGTTGGTGGCTGGATTAGAAACGCTCTGGTATCTTATGAAATTAAGCATCCAGTCATCCTCCCAAGTAAAGGCCACATCACCGCCTTGTTGGTGAGATATCACTACGAGAGGATAAGCCATCAAGGCCGAGGGATGACGCTAAACGACCTGCGGTCACATGGATACTGCGTAATCAGAGGGAGTTCATCAGTTTCCCGATGCATCTCCAAATGAGTGACTTGCCGAAGGCTCCGTGGGGCACTACAAGAGCAGAAGATGACAAATTTGCCTGAAGACAGGCTGGAACCAGCTCCGCCCTTTACTCACTGCGGAGTCGACTATTTTGGTCCATGGCTCATTAAGGAAGGCCGTAAAGAATTGAAGCGTTATGGAGTGTTGTTTACATGTTTGTCAAGCCGTGCAATCCACTTCGAAGTATCAGCAACCCTAGAAACTGACTCTTTCATTAATGCTTTGCACCGATTCATCAGTCGCCGAGGCCCCGTACGAACAATCAGATGCGACTAGGGAAGTAACCTTGTAGGTGCCAAGAACGAGTTACAGAAAGTGCTGTCCTCAATGAATCAGACCTGCGTTCGCCATTTCCTTTTGGAACGCAACTGCGATTGGATTGAATTCCAGCTAAACGCACCATCAGCTAGCCACATGGGTGGCTATTGGGAACGACAGATAAGAACGGCACACAAAATACTTTCCGTCCTACTAGACCAATGCGGAAGCCAGCTGAATGACGAATCCCTTCAAACCTTAATGACGGAGGTAGAAGCAGTGGTCAATAGCCGCCCCTTAACCGTTGAGAATTTAACGTCACCGGACGCATTGGAACCACTAACTCCTAATCATCTGCTTACAGGAAAGTCAAGAATCGTTCTACCACCACCTGGAGAGTTTCAACGTGCTGATCTATATCTTCGAAAGAGATGGAGACGACTCCAACACTTGGCTAACGAGTTTTGGGTGCGTTGGAAAAAAGAGTTCCTTCATACTCTTCAACTGCGACAGAAGTGGATACGTCCGAGACGTAACCTTCAACAAGGAGATGTTGTAATCATCAGTAACGACAATCTTCCTCGGAATATGTGGCAGATCGCCTGCGTAGAAGAAGCTTATGGTGACCCTGATGGTTACGTGCGAAAGGCAAAGCTAGCAGTGGGAGACGCTTCTTTGGATGACAAGGGACGCAGAGTCAAGCACATCAGCTACCTTGAACGACCTGTACAGAAACTGGTACTTCTTGTACCAAGCATTGACATGGAGGATTCGGACCGGGGAGTCCCCACCAAGGAGCCTTAAGGACCTAGATACCGTACCTTTGGATTTCACTCAAGGATTCGACAAACACTTGTGAACCTATGAACTGGATTTGACTTTATAATTTGATTAGCACTTGATTGAACACTTGATTAACTGATAACCTAAGTTGTATTAAATTGATTAGCTCAATTTAGGGGAGCCATGTAATTGTTGTCGAGTTAAGTATTATTTCTGTTACGTATTAGTCTTTGTTTTTGTATTAGTGACGCTTCGATATCATATGTCAGACCTAGTGCGTTGTCGTTTGCGGTAGTTTAGACAAGAGCTTATTGCGAGTGTTTCTGCGTTCATTGCGACTCATTCAGGCGTTACAGAGAGGACAATCGGTAAGCGACCGTATTATTGTATTGATTTCCTTGTTTTCTTTTCCTGTTACCGAATGTTGCATTGTTAGCTGTGTTTGCACTCGTGTAATTGATATGTATTCGTGTCATAAAATAGTTATTTTAGCTTCAGTCCTTTAGTATCGCTTAGACTAGGTTTTTTAATTGTATTTTAGTTTGACGGTTTTGAACATCAAGTCACAATTAGTACGAATAAACTACGTTTGGAATTATAGTTGGTCTTTGGTGTCTCGAATCAGTATTTCGCACGATGTCCTCGCATTAAATCCTGTGTATCTTTGGGACATTCCAACGTTGTTTCGACGCCTGGAGCTATACATCTCTCTCTATTGGCTACAGAAAATACTGGGTGCAACATGGTATTAATTTAAAAATAAAAATGCCATGTAGAGAGGTCCAGTTCATTGGCATGGTGTAGCAACACTTGAGAATGACCCCAATTGAAGTGAGCTATCTCAAATACCACTTAAAGGACACCTTGCTGCACAGTCACCTGTTGACAAAAAATTTCCAGCAGAAATGTCCAAGAAAGAAGACATTAAAAAGGGACATGAAGCAGCAACTGCTATCTGCAAACATGTGGATTTCCTCATGTCAACTCAAAATCCTTGCAACCCTGACGAAGGCAATTGGGTGAAACCTAGGGTCCACCTTTGTAAGAGGCATTTTGATGATATTTAAAAGAATGAATGGGATACAGATTGTGAGGATCTATTAAATTCTCCTCGGAGGCACACAGTGTTCTACAGCTTACTGTTTGAGAAGAAAAGATTAAAATGATGAACTTTCTTGCAGATTTAATTGCCTCCCAGAAACCTGTGAACAAACTCACTTACAGTGTGAAAAGTTGCAGCTGAGACTGTTGTGTTAGCTTACATGAATTATGTACATACAAGAGGATTCTGGGATAGAATAAAAGATGGCGTTCTTTACAGAACACATGTAGTAGTTTTACTTACAAACAACACAACAGAAACATGGTGCAGAACAGTAAAGTTAAAGTTAAAACAAAAAGAAATAATAACTGCCTTAACAATCATCAACAGCTGCAGCTACAAGGGTGACAAGCTTATTGAGACATTCAGGTTATCATAAACTACCATTCCTGCCTTGAATACATAGCAAAATATGCATCAAAGGCTGAAAAAAATTATTTAGTTGCTTTAAATGCTTTTACATCTGTTCTTTCTGAACCTTCTAATCAACATGATGGCAAGACAGCCATAAGAAAGTTAATGATAAGGGCTGTTGCACAGAGAGATATGAGCATTCAAGAAGTAATGCATCAGTTACTTTGAATTACACTTGTAAGTTCTACATTTCAAATACAAACAGCATCTCTTTAAGGCTCTGAAGAGTGCAACTGACAAAAGATGGGAATTTAGACACTAAACCTTCTTCGCTTGACATGTATGCAAAAAGAACTAGTTTTGAAAGTGACTTCCCTAAAATCTGTAATTTTGCAACTATCTTCTGCCAAACTAAATCAGGCTTCAAGAAACGAACTTCTCTCATTGTAATAGAGACTTACCCAAACAACTCTTCGAATCCCAATTCTCCTAATTATCATTTATTTTGTAAATACCAGTTGGTCACAGCAGAATGATTACATTTCACAATATGTTAATGAAATAATAAACCTTTTGCATGCCGAGTGGGGACTGATCACCAGAGTTCACTGGAGGTCATTGGAATTATACATCTGCCTTGTGGGTCGATTTTTGCACCTCTAGGGACATGCCGTTGTTGGGGCTTTGAAGTACAAGCTGAAGCACCATCACTCTTCTTCATAGAATTCAACACTGTGTAGACTAAGGCCAAGAGATGGTGACAATGTCCCTGTCTGACTTTGCAAGGACATCTTCTAAACTCAGTATTTGACCTTGAATCACTGCCAAAATCATTTTCATTTCACGCGGATTCTCCAACTTAGACACCGATCAATAACATTTTCCTTTCAAAACACAACATTCAGCTTGTGAAAGGTGATGAAAAGAAAATGAACATAATCTTCCACAAAGAACACCTGAACCCTCTGATCTGATTTTTTTTCCCTTGATAAACTCCCCTCAGCACTTTCTGGTTAAACTTTAACAGGTTACTTCACTATTAGTTGTCATTTTTGGTTAGCAGTTCAAGAAAAACACAAGCACAAAGGAATAATTTTATAAATTAGCCATGTGCTACTATTCTAGATGGCAGAGATATACCTCCAGTGACCAGTCCCCACACAGTATGCAAAAGGTCTATTGACAAAGATGATTTCACTGAAACCAACAACTAGTGAAAGAGAAGAGTGGATGATTCTTGCTGAGCTCAAATTCAAATCTGCTACTACAACTGACAAAATTTTGGATATTCCAACTAATTACTACTGTGAAGGTCAATCAAATTTACACATGATATGCCCCACTGGATATGATATGTAGAAGAATGCTTCTATACTTGAATCCAAGCACAAATCACAACCAAATGACATTCAAATTATGAATTATGCTCAGAGAGTTACTTATAAGTTAATTAGAGGCCACTTTGAGAATGAGGCTAGCAATTAACTTTTTATGATGATCACTGGCTTGGGTATTTCAGGAGAGAGATTTGTAGTAGATGCAGTAAGAAATCTCCTAAATGAGCAGTGTAAAGTGTGTTCTTATTTTGGAATTGCAGCATTTAACATAAAGGGTTATACTTTACATTCACTCCTCCAATTACCAATAAAAAGAAAAAAAGAATATATTAAATTCTAGTAAATTAATTCCCTATGTTGTGTAATTAACAAACAAAATTCTTATTAGTGACTCGAACAATTAACATGCAAACAATAACGTAAATAGATCAATTGTAATTCAATTTGACTAGTGTAATTGTATTGTAATATATGTATTGTAAGTAGTGCAAGTTAATGTAGTGTAAGCATCATGTAAGGAGTAAGTATAGTGTAAGTACATATGTAAGTATAATATGTAGGAAAAAATATTTTAAAAAATTAAAATAAAAGGAAAAAGGAATGCCCCTTCAAGTCTTCAGCTTTAGCTGAGTTGCAGAATGACTTATTTGGAGTGAAGAATTTAATCACTGATCAATTTTCTGTTATTGGCCAGAAAATGTTTGCTTGGATTAGCAGGCATTGCAATATAGCAACAGGCTTTAATGCTACTCCATTCCATTGTATTTCCATTACATTAGTTGAAATTATTGGCCAACTACCTTCCATCACTGATCAGGTTCTGTATCACAATGTTCTAGTACTTCTTCTTTCACTTTATGAAAAAATTATCAAAATAAAAAACACCAAACTATTCAAGTTAGAAAGCTTTTTCTACTCTATAACAACAGATCATGTTGGATATCTACAAGCAGTCAGTGAGCTATAAAAGAGCAAATCTTCAACAAACTATTACTTTGATGTGAACTTCCAAATCGCAGATGAAGAAGTTGTTCCATTGAGAGTAATGTCGAAAATAGGAGGCAGCAAAAGAGAACTGTTTATTGACAAAATGACATCTGAACAACCAGTCATGCTCTCAAAATTGCTCACCTCACCATCTGGTACTACATTCCTGAATTATAGCACTATAATCAGAGATGTTCCAGCACATTCAATCAAGTTCAAGTTCTCCCAAACATTGAAACCAAACATAGCCAAAATAGCCTTATTATTGAATGAAAAATCATCTGGATTTGTGAAACTGGAAGAAGAACTACATCTTGCAAGTAACTCAACAAAACTGGTGTGTAATGTTAAGTTACAGACAGCACAGGTACCATAAACTTGTCAATCTGGAAGCAGCACATTCCTCAGCTAATTGATGGCAACTTCTATACTATCTCACAAAAGTGGATTTGTTGCCCAAAGATTCCAAGCATTTTGCCAATGATATATTCAATGTGCAACACCAATCAATGTGGAAGAAAGGTTGTCATCAACCTCAAATGTAGGAGGTCAATGATAATTGATAATTGTACCATTCAAATGAACATTAACTTCAATATTGAAACAGATGGCAAAAATTATTCAGTAAATGCCTTTCTAAAGGTTATCAATGATTTCCTTAGTGAGAATATCTACTCCTATGGAGATAATACCACCATGTTGGAAGAGAAGCTGCTGCTACTTGAAAACATTGACATCCAACTGTCAAGAAACAAAACAAGGAGTTCACATGCATTATAAATCATACTGACAGGTTGTTACTTTTGTAACTCGTTTTCTTGTCTGTGTTTTGTTTACATAACTATTATTCATTAACGATTTGTACTTTTTCCAAGTTTTTGTTATTCATGCTGTGATTGCTGTGATCAATGCAAGTTTCGCAATATAACCTTTGGAATCATGTAATTAGAGACACCACATTTTTAATCAGTTCAGTTGTGCCATCTACGTTCTCGCTATCTATACTATCGCTGTCGTCGCTATCATTCTAAGCTATCATTTCGTCAATTGCTACCCTCACAGGAGCAAGATCAAAGTAAGTCTTCGCTACATATTTTTAGTTGTAATCGTGTTGTTATAGTTTGAGATCTATGTTCCATCAGTGTCCTTGATTTATGTTTTGTATCTTAGCCAGTATTAGTTTACGTAAGCCTTTTGTATCATTTTGCTTTTAGTTCGAACCACACAATCATCATTGACTACGACTTGCCTTCACAACCATATCCTAATTCCGTAATCCTTATTCTTGTATTATTGATTCATCGTTCCCTTCGAATAAATGCTAAAGATTGATTTTAATGTGATCTGGTTACTTTGGATTATGTGTGTTCGAGTATTTCAAGCTCTTGGGGTTAAGTCATAACCTACACGTGGCTTCGCTCCTGGAAAGTCACACAGGTAAATACAAGAGCTGCTCTTGGAAACCTCTGGGACAGATGTATAATTCACATGTAATACTTAGTCTTTAAGAACTTGCTATTGCATCAGATATATAATGGAACATTTATCATGAACTAATGTTGTAAAGCAGTTGTTCTGTTCCTCTGCCTTGTGAATTATGTCAATCATTTTTGGTGCAATAAGAAAGGGTTTGCATTGTTCAGTTTACTTTTTAGTTAACCCACGGTTGACTTGGAAATTGAATTAGTTACACATGTTTTGTTGTGTTATGCATTATGGTAATATTTCAATTTCATGGCTAAAAAATAATGATATATTTTATAAACATCCAAATAGTTGTTATGGATTAAAGATTACATCAAAACAAGTACGACCCACTAGAACATGGAGAACTGCAGCATCCGTAGCCTCCAGCTTTTCTCCAGACTTACAAAAAAGAAAATAGTATGTTATATTTCTCTTGTGTAATCCCAGGTCAATAACTGTGCTCCTTGTGATTGTTTCAAAAAAGCTTGTTTCTTCACAAACATGTGAAACAACAATTGTTGCATTTCAACTTCATTGCTTATAAAATATCCCTTGACAAGAAAACATTAAAATATTTGAATAAGCACCAAACACAAAAACCTGAAGGTCCAAAAAATTCACTAAATGACCATCCACAAATAAGCAATCACACCCTACTAACAGTCTTGTTCAGTAGTACACCACTGTAGAGTGCTACGAGGAGTACTAATGAATTAGATGTATGAACTGTTTATATTTTGTTCATATACTCAATCAAATGAGCACCCACTCACAAGGTCCAAAAATTAAATATTAGGACCCAGGGGACTTAAAAAATAACATGGTAGTCCAACCAGGATTAATAGAGGGACACCAACAGTGGCCTTTTGCTGTAAGTGCTAAAAAGTTTTGTTTAATTATTCCAAGTATAACCTAAAAGAACCAGATTTGTGCATAGAAATACCATTGGAACAAAAATGTCCTACTTTGCATATTATAACTTGGAAGATAACATATACTTATACTGATGTATAAAGTTACAAGTGGACTTACACCAGCGACTTTCAGAGATCTATTCCAATTAAACTGTGAATAAGAAAGAAAACATACTTTAAGAAACTCTGACTTCAGGCTGGTGTGTTATCACACTGTCACTTATGGCAAGCATTTGATCAGCTATTTAGGGTCATCACTCCAGGCAAAAAAGCTAACCAAAAAGAAAGGACAGTCAAATCCCTGCCAGAATTCAAAGTGATCACATGAAAGCAAGAGTTATCAGCTGAAATCAATGGATGTGGAACAAATTGTTATCTCTGCACAACTTAGTGTATGGATGTCTGAAAATAGTGTTCATAGTTTTGATTGTAAATAGTGTTGAAACAAACTTAAGAGATTTGTAAAGATAGAAATAGTAGTTATGAATGCATCTATTCTTAGGGATTATACTAAAATTAATTATTAATTAATACTTTACTTAATATGTCAATTTGTATCAATTAATAATTATATTATCAATATTTTATTATTTAATTAATATTTTTATCAAATTTGTAACATACTGTATGTGTTTGAGTATCTCCAATTAGTGCCTTGGTGCTAGAATGACTAGACACAGAAATAAAGGTTATGCATGTATGTATGTATGTATGTAAGTTTCTTGCAAGTTTGGTTTCAGAGGACATTCTCAACTAAATAAAAGAGACCCTGATAGAAATGGGATTCGTGACAAAGAGAACACCAGCATTTCTCAGTAAATAGATGAAGGTATGGAACATCCAGTTTGTTGTTTCTCCAAGAAGTTCAACAAAAGTCGAATGAACTACTCCACTTTTGAAAAAGAATGTTTGACACTAGTGTTAGTATCACAATATTTGAAGTTTTTGTCAAGTTCGCCTGTTGTTGTTTATAGTGATCATAACCTCTTTGTCTTTATTCATAAGTTGAAGGCCAAAAATCAATGATTACTGAGGTGGAGTTTAATGTTTCAAGAGTGTAGTGACAGTCAAACATTGGAAACTTCATTTAAGTAACTTTACCGGTACTCGTAATTTACATTGTTGATGTTATTGTTAATCCGGGATACCGATACCTTTTAGTGCCCGTCAACACATATGTCAGCGGACTCGTTCTGTGAAGACGCCATTTTGTGAAGTATATGTAGCACGAGGTTTTTGTAGATTAAAGCCTTTAGAAACGAGGCCAAACGTTTGTTTAACTATCATAACAAAGAGTATGTTTTGGACATCAGACACATAAAAGGAAAGGACAATGTTATTGCAGACTGCCTTTCAAGATCATAAATTTGCAAGAAAGTTTGCCAAGTTGCTTTTCTTGATTGGGGAGGGTGTTGTGAATAACTGTTGTAAATGTATGCTTCTAAAATATCTCAAGACTGCTGAGTCATGCTGACTTGCATACCATAGAACTGTCCAGAACATTTCATCTAAACTACTAAACAACTACTAAATGGAGAAGGAACTGAACCAACTATTTGAAGAATCTTAGTCTGTGATTATCAAAAAAAATTGAGGAAGGCATACAAAAAATTATTCTTGTTTTCTCATCACACTCAAAATGTCAGGCTTTTAATCCTCATTAACATGTTTGGTGATCACTCCCTTGAGCAGATTACTAATGCTAGGCTTCGCAACCTCATGGAGAAAACATTGAGATACAGAATAGTATGAATGATTTTACTGTGTCACTTGTCAATCCAGGACAATACCCTCACTAGTGTTAACTTTTTGGAGCTGGGATATTGCATTTGTTGCCTTCTCGTTACTTCACTCAGCCTTGGTAAAGAGTTCATATACCACATGACTATATTTAGAAACTACCAAGCTCTCTTTTACCATTTTTTAATTTAAATATACATATATTCAACTATCTGTTTGTTCATCGATTTTTTTAATTCACTTATTCATTTATTTAATTATTTGCTTTCATGATATTTAAGCATTCAAACTTAATCAAAATATTCTATCAAATTTGTAGTATATTAGAAAGGTTACAGCTTGCTGGGCACTATGTACCTTGCATGCAATTTACCATCAACGTGCACTCTTGGAACAATTGCTGAATGTAGAAAGAATTTAAAATTTGAACCCTGGATTCTGAGAAAAATGTATATACTGCTATTTAGAACACTTGATGCAAAACAACAAGAACAAACCAGTCACTGTAGCTGTGTTGAAGAAGACCTAGATCAGTGTGAATGTTGGAATAACACAAAATACAATAAGGAAACTGATCCTCACAGTGGAGAGAAGAAATAAGGAAAAAAACCTTGAGACTAACATTTGCCCAATTACATGTACACCATTACACCATTAACTGACCACCATATGATGAGTTCCATAGCTCAAGTTTTCAATTTGACCCTTTCATGGAAATCATGATCAAGATATTAAATGTACTTCCAAGCCCATAATTTGTCCTACATATCAGTCAGTAGACTTACTTGTCCAAGTTTGTAGGTTGGTTCATGAACTCAAACTTTGTCACTGATCACACAAGTATGACGTCAAAATCTGTTGTACTTCAGAGTTCAAGACCTTGATATGAGGAAAGGGCTAGCTATAAACCAGATCTAAGTGTACTAAAATCAATGTCCCTTTTTATAATTGAGATTGTAAGAGACAGCAGACTCACATATTTGCAGCCACACCACAAGCCTTCACAAATGAGGAGACATTTTTGAAACCTGCTATAGAATTTGATATGCACACCAAAGAAAATGTTGGACTTAATTGCAAAGTTGAACCTGCATCCATCAAAGAGCATCCTGGTCCTTCCACTGAAAACCTTTGTTACACTCTTAAAGAGGTGATCATTTCTTCTTTAACATCCTATGACAACAAATCAGCAAATTATGTGCCATAGATTATGACATTCAGTAAGGAGAAACCAGACAGGCAATGAAGAAGCATGCCAAAGAGACACACCAGGCAATCAGAATATTTTTCAATTAGAGCACATTACATGTGAGAGCTTCTACACCGTTTTCTATCAGAGAGAAGATGTTTGTGGAGATACCAAAAGGAAGTTCATGTCAGCTACTTTCCATCTTTGTGATGGAAAGTAGACAT